ACACATGATAGGAGAATGCCTCAATGCTAAAGTGTAACATTTTTCCCTTCTAAAACGCGAAGTTTATTCCAAATAGTGTATTTGTAATAAGGTTGCTCCGGCGAAGCGCAGCACTGGTTCCAGACTTGATCGCCACGAGAAATATGTTGAGTTCCAAACGAGCACGGTTTGGATTTTACTCTCAACGAACTGTCCTCGTTACTTGAAGTTATGTAGGATGTCCCTTTCTGTGCTTTGTCTGCTCCGAGGGAGAAAGAAACTGGAGATATTCACCCGTTGTGTTAGCCCACAAGGGTAAGCTTTGGGAACAACGACAAGTAAAATTTGTACGGCAGCAATAGAGAACTATACCGTTGACAAGCTGTTAAAATGTCCAAAACACTGAGAAAAAAATTTCAGGCGAGAGAAATTTCCCAAGGGGGTGGGGGTGATTTTAACATGTTCTTATGCACAGTAGAATTGTAAATGGGTTGAATTATCAATGTCATGCTCATACTGTTCAAGAACAACACACGGGGAACTGCTGTTTTTTTCTTTCCTCATCCTTACTATCGTCATTTTCCTCTACTTATTTTGTATGTTTGTCACTCTCTTGTGAACGGCTAATTCCGGGGTGCTTTGATAGTCGAAGCAGACTTTGTGCGTTGAGGCTGGAGAGGTGAACAGAGTAAGCCTGATTCCCTGTTTGGACTTCTCTGTTGACCTCCACCCCTTGGCGCTCCTATGTCTTTATGCAGTTGCGAGCCCCGTAAAAACCTTACTAAAACAAAAACAGGAGAGAGAGAAAAAAACCAGTTTTATCATTTTAACATTATTGTACCTACTTTATATATGATTTCCCTGCTATTTTTAACACCTAGAATTTGAATTTTTACAAATTATTTTTCGGGCTTGTGCAACCGATATAAGAAATTCCATAACTGCAATAAACAATTGTTTTCACAATTTTGGGCTCAGTACATTTGCACAGCTGGCCGACTATATAGACAAAGTAAAACCGAGTGGTTGTTACGTCAAACAAACTTATGAAATTGATTTTTGTAAACAAGAATTTTGACAAGAATTATGCCAGCTGCCGTTCACCGTGAAGTCAGAAAACATAAAATTGTTGTTGCACTCCAATTATTGACTAGCCCCATCACTATGCATACAGTAAACATGAGTTCCATTCTTCTTTTTTTCTAAGCGAAACTATTTTTATTGAGCATTTGCGTCTTTCAGATACGTTGTAATTTAGGTTGTCTCTCTTGAACCTTACCAACAAAATATTATGGCCTTCGTATTGTTTCAATGCGGACTCAAAACGAAAATGTACGAATTGTATAGGTTTACCACCCTTGTAACACTCTAAATTCATTTAAGAGGCAGGACCTCCGAATTTTAAGTCCATTTCCGACAGGACCGAACCAAATGGGAAAGTTGATATCAAGTGCCTTTCCCCATGAATTAACGTCGGGCAGAGGTGAACCTCGAATCCTCGAATCCTTGAACCCACAATATAACGAGTTCAAGTATGGTAGCTTAACCACTAGACTACTTGACGCTCAAATCATGTATAACTACAACAGCAATGTATCCAATAAAGTCCGTATAACATATTATGTAGCATATTTTGTCTTTATCTATCTATCTATCTATCTATCTATCTATCTATCTATCTATCTATCTATCTATCTATCTATCTATCTATGTTT